TATATATCTCTCTCTCTCTCTCTCTCTCTCTCTCTCTCTCTCTCTCTCTCTCTCCTCTCTCTCTATCTCTCTCTCTCTCTCTCTCCTTCTCCCTCTCTCTCTCTCTCTCTCTCTCTTCTCTTCTCTCTCTCTCTCTCTTCTCTCTCTCTCTCTCTCTCTCTCTCTCTCTCTCTCTCTCTCTCTCTCTCTCTCTCTTCTCTCTCTCTCTCTCTCTCTCTCTCTCTCTCTCTCTCTCTCTCTCTCTCTCTCTCTCTCTCTCTCTCTCTCTCTCTCTCTCTCTCTCTCTTCTCTCTCTCTCTCTCTCTCTCTCTCTCTCTCTCTCTCTCTCTCTCTCTCTCTCTCTCTTTCCTAATGCATTGCATAGAAATATAAACCATATCAATATTCACATATTTAAGCTGCTGACGCCTGAGTGGCAGAATGCTCCCTTCCGCAAATGCGATTAGCCCTCTGGGCCACATGCTTAGTTTGCCGCTAGTGTTATGGTGACACCTCTCTGGGAACTCAGAAGGATGTATGGTTAGTTGTTCCAGATCAGCCAAATGAGGCCAAAGGTGGGGTGGTTGGGACGATTTGGACAGCAAATGACGCATTACAAACTCGCGAACATACATTGCTTAAACCAAATATCGGCAAATATGATGTCCTAAAATGGTTGTGCGTTATAGCCCCTAAATGGTCATTGATAAACAACCCACTTTTTAAGACATCGCAAAGATTGTTGTGGCACATCAGGTGTGAAAATATTCTGGGAATGAGGTCAGCTGTCAGAGGAAGTCCACTAGAGCTGGAGATGTGATTTGAATCCCTCCAGGTCGAAAATGGGTGTGCGCACAGTATAGAAAGTCGGATGGTCCTGGATACCAGAGAGCATCATGTCCGAATTCCGAATATTTCATGGATATTCAAGCTTGAGCATTGACGAGGTTGAAAACCTGCATTTGCACGTTCAAAATTTTCGGGAGAACTTTGACTCATGAAAAACCCGATCCCCCGTCCAGAGGCCTTTTTCATGGCTGGACGGTGGATGGCTAAAGCTTCGGATGGCTTGGTAAGGATAACACCAACATATGCATGGGTCCAATTGGTACCTCAGCTTTCTGTGTTGCAATCGCTTGCCATGAATGCTTCGCCACGCCAGCCGTCGGAGCTGCGGTCTTCCGCTCTGTTGTACAACGCTGACAACGCATGGGCACATTTCGTTCCGGACGTGTGTGCGGTCTCTGATGGACAGCACACAGTCACCGTTCTTCCACTCAATGACTTAACTTGCTAATAGTGAAGCCATCAATGTGTTGTGACAACATATTGATGATATCCCAATGTATTACATGTGCATAAATCGCCACAAGCCGATCGTTTCAGGGGATGCCAGGCGGAGAGCACGCACCCTGCAGCCCGCATCGCATGTGTTTGCGTGTTCGATATTCCTCAACATTCGAGAAAAACATTCGTATTTATGTTTCAAAATAGATAAAATATAAAACCAAGCCAAGTGTTTTTAAACCCTGCCCACCCCTTCCCAGGCCCACAGTAGCAATGGCCCTAGCTCTGTAAGCTCCGGGGCGAAGGTCACAGCAGGTGTTGCAGTTACTATAGAGTCGATGGACGCACGGGTGGGACCTGACACCAGCCCAAGATCAACACCGGCCCGTCTCCGGACCGTCCTCTCCTGGCTCCCTGACGCCGTCCTGGCCAGCCGGAAAGGATAATTTTCCGGCCTGTCCATTGTCACCCGGTCGGGGACCAGCATTGTGGCCAAGATTGGTTAGTTACGTTGATTAGGGGGGTTTGGCGTGCGCGATCAGTGACGCCGCCCGGCCCGACCCGGGGGACTTTTGTGGCCGGCCGGCACCCATTGAGGGACGCCCCTGTTTGCTGCTACCGGAGCCGGCCGCGGGCGGACGGGAGGAGTGGCCGCAGGTCGGCGCCTGGAGACCCGGCTGGAAGGGCAAGGCAGGAATGGACGGCAAACTCGACGGAGATGTTATCTCACCAACTGTGTTATTTGACGGGGTGGGGCTGATTTAGCCCAGCTTGGTCCGTCATAGCATTTCACGCTTCATCAAACAGGTGTTTAGACCACCGCAACATGATTTTGTTTCAGGCATAACGAGTGGCGCAGGTTCAACAAGCCTTGGCGTACAATAACTGGCATTGTTGTAGCTTCAGCCACCTGGCGCAGTCAGTCACCCTTTTTGACGGGCAACTGCTTTGCATTTTATACAATCTTTGTAGCGACTGATCTTGTTTCCATGTCAGCAATAAGCGGCATGACGGCTGAAAGTTGTGCTGTGATATTTCAGTGGCGGTCACGTACAGCAGGCCTTGTCAGCTGGTGGACTTCCGCATCGGTGCCATGCCACGGGAGTTCATCTCCCCACTGATAATCACAGGCAACCAATGGTGTCCAATGGTTGCCTGTGACTTGATGTCCAATGGTGTCCAATGGTTGCCAATGGCAGAAACGTTGCAGGACGCGGGCTGGTAGCATGTTCGGATATTGACCACCATGTGCTGTAATGGCATGAGGCTAATACAGCCGGGGGAGACAACGAATAGTTTTGGCAAAAGTACAAGCCGATGTGTGTAAACTGTCACGCGCAATCGTCCTTGAGCCACTTAACCACCCGTTATTCCAGCGTTTTAAAGTACTGATGTCAGGTCTCGACAAGAAGAGCAAACGCAAACTTGAAACACACCTGTACGGCGTAGGGAAGCGCGCCGTTCGCAACTTATCAGCAGATTTAAGCACAGTTCGGCCCAGAGGTGCGCCAATAACAAAACCTATAAGTTTTAGGAATAAGGCTTGAATCCGGAGGAATCATTTGGTGGACCAAATCGATTCAAGTATTCTGGTTGGGTTGGAGAACAGGGTGATGCCTGGCAAAGGAACTGCCTCGTTGCCACCCTGCAACCTTGGGTCAGTAACAGCAGTGTTTGGCTTGCTACACGGCAAGCGCAAGCATGGATAGGTGGCACCTGGAGGATTTTTCAGCGCTTTTTAGTGATGTCAGCAAAGTACAAAATGTGAGGTTTACTCAGCAGGTGGAGCGAGACTGGGAGGTGCAAAGGTGCCTTGGAAACGTGGGCCGCGTTGCTTTTTGATGTAGTAGGGACACATGCAGATCGGTAGCTCTTAGCCATGCATGGTCTGAGTAGAGCCCTATAGACTAGTGATGCCTCCTGGAAGACAACTGAGAGACATCAGGGTATTTGAACATGGTTTCAAGCTTGCAACTGTGACCTGAGTTAACGGACTTGACCAAATTCAGCGTCTCTCAATGTTTTCAAGAAGCCTCGTGTCGTTTGGGAGAGGCTAGTTTTTAGGAAAGCCGGTGTCTAGAACCAGTGATGTGTTAAGGGTCGTAGCCAGAGCTTGGAAAATGGGGGGGGGGCACAGGGTTGACGAAAGATCCCCTGATGGCGAAAACATCCCCCCAAAAAGGCTGGATATGATCCATTTTTTATGAGGGCGTGCTTTTCTTTTTAATTCACATTATAACCTACAAATGAAACATAAGCGAAAAGTTTTCGCAAATAAATTTTGTATAAACTTTATGGTTAATAAACTGAAGAACTCATGCGCTAAACAACTACATGAAAAACTTCGCGATCTTTATCGTGTACTGGCCAAGTGAACTCCTTCTAAGCCGATAGAACTTAAAGCTTTGCCAGAACTTCGATCTGGGCTCTGCAGAGATGTTAAAGGGAGTGGTCCACATTTACATGGACTTTTGAACTGAAATAACTATCTTGAAGGCCGTTTGATGCTGTTCACAATCCTGTCCTTCTTAAGAACTAAGCCCCTCTAGCTCCAGTTCGGAT